ATTGAAGGGAAAATTAGAAGTTTCACAGATGAAAAAAAAAGGTTAAGGGATTTTATTACCACCAGGCCAGCAATGCAAGAAATGCTAAAGGGACTGCTTTAAAAAGAAGAAATAGAAAGGGAAGAAGGAACACAGGCATAAAGAATAAAAATGGTGACAAACAACTGCCTATCCTATATAAGAGAGGAATATGGTAATTAGCCAAGATGTGCTAATTAGTCACTACCAGTCAGGCGCGGCCCAGGAGCGGCCCCCAGTGGAAGTGCCCACCTGCAAGGCCATCATGATCCTGCGCTCCCAGTCCTGCTTGCCAGATGGAAATGCCGGAACTTCAGCAAATAGGCCACTGAAGTCCTAAATGAGTATTTCTATTTCCACCTGAGTAACCCATATCTCAGTGAGGAAGCTAAGGAGGAGCTTGTCAAGAAGTGTGGCATTACCGTTTCTCAGGTCTCCAACTGGTTTGGCAACAAGCAGATTCATTATAATAAAAATATCAGAAAGTTTCAAGAGGAGGTAAACATCTATGCTGGCAAGGGGGGTCACAGCCATACCAGCTCCCAGGCACCCCCTTCTTCAGCAGGCTCTGGCGGCTCTTTCAATCTTTAAGTTTCTGAGGATGCCCGGGTTCAATGGAGATCCCTATCCTGCTTCCCAGGTGAAATCACTCTGACACTCGATGGGCCCAGGGGCTACAGAGATAACCTCAGGGGAGGCCCGATGGACAGCCCTCCGGAAATGAGGGCAAATGGGGCTGGCAGGAGGCTGTGACCCCCGTTTTCAGTGACATCCCCAACAGAAGGACCAGGGAGTGTTCATTCTGACACTTCTCACTGATCTCACCCCTCAGGGCCACAGGGTGGGGGCTCATGAGGTGACTCTAGATGAGAGGACAAAGGCATCCAGAGGACATGCCCCAGACACAGGAGAAAACACAAGATGGAGAAGGGTAAATGGGGTTGTCCTACCCTAGCCGACTCAGTGCTGGGGTTGCTGACTACATGGCAAGGAGAAGGGAGTCCCCTAAGTGGAAGGTGGGGTCTGTCTCCCCTTTTTTCTCTTCTTTTCAATCTTTTTCTCACCCCATTTCTTACACAGAAACACACCCAGAACCCTACCTTTCAGATCCTCTCTCTCTCTCTCATAGACACATACACAACTATTCTGTTTCTCTCTCTCATAGATACATATACAACTATTGTTTCTCTATAGACACATATACATTTTCTCTCTCTGACACATATATGACT